CACGAAAACGATACAGATGCTTGACGGCAAAATCAACGGAGTCAGTCGAAAATCTCGCCGAAAGTCACAGTTCACCTCTCGTCGGGGTCGTCTCAAGCTGGTATCTTCGCTTTAACGGCAGCGCCGCTCGCTCGTGAAGAGGTTGCAGCCCCGCCCACTGGCGACCACGACGCCCAACTTCATTTCTAATGGTTGCCTGATGGTGCGGTTGTTCCGCTACTAACTCTCTCCACTTCGAATGGTGAGAGTGAGGTGATAAGGGAAAAGTAGCTGATACCAACAAGTGAACTCGTGCAACCAGAGCTTCTCTTCGCCTTATGTACCTACAACTTCAGTTCGGCCTAGGGTTCTATACAGAGTATCTCCCAACCTTTTCCCTGCTTTTTTCGGAACCATTTGCTACTTGGATTTTTGAACGCGGGCTCAGTCTTCAAGACAAATGAGTTAAATTCAGTTATATTCAAAAAATCTACGGGGAATCGATTACGGGTATGAAACTATGATCTGATAATGGAAATTGTGATCGTAAGGTTATTAGATGAGAACCAGTGTGAAAATCACGTACATTGTCATCTTCGTCACTGTCTTGTTGCTGCTCTCTATCACGTGCTTTGACTTTCTTACGATCAGCATGACGCCACTTTTGTGAATCTCTGTAGCTTGTTCCTGAAAATTGCAAACACTACTGATCAGCGGATTTCTGCGAACGCCAGCTGTTCGACAAATCAAGTAATGAGCTTGCACGGAAAATGGGGAACGTACTCCTACTCACACTACGTGAGAAAACTTGATCATATTATTGTATTATACGAGGTTCCATCTTCTCGGGACATTTTCTGAAACCTGTTTTCGTCTCACGTTGCTCAGCTCAGTTCCTAAAATTCTCAGAACACTTTTTTTCCGGCGCATTTCGGGGGAGGAAGGAGGGAAAGCACTCACGCCTTCTCTCCTAAACGCTCAGTACAGCGCAGACGATCGGAGCCGCCGCGGTCTAGGCTCACAAACAGAAATAATAATTTGCCCCGCGCGCCTCTCGGACTACGCGAGCGCCCTTTTCATTAGGACCACAAATTTGGCCAATAGAAGAAGAATGGCCTACAATATGACTGCTGCGTTTAGTTGCCACTCTCTCTTATGAATTTACCCAAAAAGGTTTCAAAGCGATACAAACTGCGCGATATCAATGATAGGCGTGGATAAGGCTTTTGAGAAACCAAATAATCATAGACCCTAGAACAGCGTTTTTCTATTTACAGTGCTGCCTATACAGAGAACATGCTTCTTCTAAACTAGAGCAGAAGATCCTGTTCATTAAAGGAAGAAAAACTATATGTGAACGAAAGCAACATTTAAAAGGAAAACGAATCGCTCTTGCTTCGCCCTAAAAAACACGAACCTGGCTTTCTCTTCCTCGCCTTCGTCATCGTCAGAAATCAGTTCGGATGGCGTGAAACTTTCGATGCCCTCGTAGCTCTAAAGTGAAAATTCAAAAAAAATAGCTGCTCAACTAAGAGCGCGTTCATACTTCGATCTCGCGATCCAATCGCGAGTCGAGCAATCCGACGCCCGATTGGATCGCGCGTCGTATTGCTTGACGGATCGCTCTATTGCATCGCGCGATCACGACCGGTGCTCCAACCATAATAACGCGTTAACGTGGAGTTCCACCGCCAAGCGGACCACCGTAAAGAATCCAAAAGTATACTGATGGGAGAGAAATATAGGAAAACACAACACTTGAAGAAGTAACACTTTTTCTGGAAGTTTTCAGAAAACGCAAGGCATGCGTGGACAGAAAGATCTAAGAAAAACGGAGCAGAGCGTGAACGCTCCCCAACTGAACTCTGTTGTTACAGCGGTTCACTGATTGACGGTGAAGCGCCCTTGGCCGCGATCGCGCGATTCAGTCGACCGATCCGATCGTACCGCGAAGTATGAACGCGCTCTGATGCAAAACATAATGTACAGCCCATATAGTACTGACCAGAAGATCGAAGTATTCATGATGCTTCTTTCAAAAGCTCTCTTCTACTGACAACGAGTATTTTTGCTAAACGGACAAAAAGGTAGTGGGAGTGAATTGAGATCCCATTACGGGTGACGCGGTTGGTCCCAGTATAAGAGGAACGAATCTTGACAGAAATCAGCGGGGTCCTACAAGGACGGTATACAAAAAAATGGTAACTTTATTAGGTGCAGCTAACACAGATGATGACACTGTTCCGGATTGGTAAACTACTCAAAATTAGCTTGAAAAAAATTGAAAAAAAAATCAAAAAAAATTAAATTTTTTTAATTTAACATTAAAATTTAAAAAAATTAGCTTGGAGCTGTACATGCACGTTCATACTTTACGGCTAGGGGAAATACGAGAACAGGAGGTAAGGAATCTTCTATTCACCAGCGAGCGGAACTTTTCCATCTATGCCTATGGCGCATGTTCTCCCAATCCCTGCAGTCGCCGATACTCCCGTTCTCCTGAGTCGCCAGATCGATCCTATGCTTTCTTTGAATGCGCCTTCTACTTTTCTGATTCGCAAAGAATGAGAGTGCCTCATAAGACACTTTAATGGCTACATCCATTTTACAACACATGTAATTGTCTTATCAAAGGTGAATTTTGAGTATTAGTGAACCTTCGAACTCACTTCGATTTCTTCATCACGTTCAGCCTTTTCTAAACGAGTTTCGCAATCATCCCAGGTTTTCACTTCTTCTTCCTTCATCGGTTTACCAGGCCTTCCATATTTGATTAAGCGCCAGTGCAGCAAACAAATACCTCGATGAGAGGGCTTAAAATGCATTTTCATGAAAAAAACCTACATTCCGAAAGTCATCACATTTTCAAAGTAACATGCCTCATCCGAAATACCTAGACCTAATCTCTTCGAAACAGCCATTTTTTCGAGGATATTCGTTAGAACCCTTTCCGAGCGTCTACGATTACATCGTACAAATCCATGTGGGAATCTTGCGGCCATACAGCACCTTTCGTCAGACTGTAAAAACTACTTTCTTATATGGGTAATATAACATAAGCTAAATACTTCTGTCAATTCAAACTTGAAAGAAAAAACGTACAGTTAAGCCTTCTATCCGTTCTCCGACCTGCCATTTCTCAGCATAGATCACCTCTTCCTGAGTAAATAACTGATTAATAACGATATTCTAGTTCGCTGAGGACGAAGGGGCGTGACGGGCGGGATAAGTTTGACGAGGTGCCAAGCCAGTTCTCCAGCAGTTGTTCAAGTGAGCAAGTGATAACATTTCACCATATCGTTCGAATCACTCGTTTTCTACCAACTGTTGTCAACCCGCTTCAACAGCTGACAAAGAACGGGTTTGGCGCCGTGGCACATTCACACTGCCTGACACGCCCCTTCGTCCGCAGCGAACCAGTGTATACCATGTGCCATAATGCTGCTTGCAGTAAAACCGCTTTATGAAGATCATAAAATAGGGCAAATAAATATCTCTTTTTATATTCACAAATAAAGCTAAAGGTATAAAGTCATCGCATTTAAAACAGCGACACTATTCAAGTATTACTACCCAGTCTTCTGAAAACATGTCAGTTTCTGACCGACTTTCTTCTAGGGAGGCGGATTTGGCTCTGAAATCTCGGTTCTAGAGGGAAGTCGACCTCTTGAACCCTCACATCTTGGCCTGAAGCTGTCTAGCGCGCGCCACATGCGTCGTCCCCAAAAGCCCTAAATCACCGAATTCGCTGAAAACATGTCACCTGAGGTAGACTGACCGTCCCGAACACGAACATCACATCCGGAAATCCTGATTACGAACTGACATTCGTTCTCGGTGCTGGCATCAATGGAGAACCCTATGATCATCCGAGCTCTGCTAAGGCTAAGCCTAGACTGAAGGGAATCAGTCCTTCTCTCCTGCTCAGCCTTTGCAGAGCGCTAAATGGTACTGGTGTCGAAAAATAAATGCCTAGTGATCAGAGCATTCAAACGAGTTTATTAAGTAAGTTTTTATAGATTTTGATGACAAAAAGGTATCAAATCGGCGCCTTATGGCTCCACACGGCGTCAGGGCTGAAAATGAATGCCATATTAGTGATGAGGGTACCGAATGCATGCAAGTTTACACCGTGTTAGTGAGAAAAGTGGTGCCGCCAAATTGGCGCTTACTGGCGCCTGCGCC